GATCCAAACAGCAAGGAAGATTTGATGAGATGAGCAAGCTGCAGGCATGGATTTTCTAATTTGGTGTTGATAATTTTGTAATTTTGTTAAAATTAAAGGTTAAAATGGGTATCAGAAAGGAATGGAAAGGGTGAAATTGGAAAAAATTGAAAGAAGATTACATGAGAAATTGAACCGGTGGTTTTTTCGGTTCCACCGGTTTCACTGGTTTTTATCGGTTTTGATCGGTTTTGATCGATTTTGACCAATTTTGACCTCAAACGGTTTTTTATGTAAATCGAACCGTTTTCATCACCGGGTATCGATCCGACCGGTTCAACCGGCCGATTCGATCCGGTTTTAAAAACCTTGGAATGGGGACGGGGAGCAAAATCTGCTCTCCGTCAAAACTCTCCGTGAGGACGGGGACGGGGAGAGACTCCCCGGCCCCGCAGGGCCCCGTTGACATCCCTAGACATCAAGCTTTTAAAAAGAAATAAAAGATAAAGTTAAAAATTTACTTTTTCTAACTCTACCATTGGAATATGACTACAAAATAATTGAGACTAATAGTAGTAGTGAAGGATGGGGATCAATTTTGTTAGTAAAACCTAATAAATTTTCATCTTAAAAAGAAGAAAATTTTTTTAGATATTCTAGTGGATTGTATAGAGAAAGTGAAAATTCTTTAACATCTCTTGATTTTGAAATATTAAGAGTTATAAATGCTTTAAATTCCTTTAGACTTTTTATCCAAAATGATACTTTTACAATTACAACAAACTGTGAGGCGATTGTGAAATATTTTCAAAAGAAAATGAAAAAAGTCTTTCTTCCAAATGATGGATCAATTTTGTAAATATTATAACTGGAAATGATTTTAAAGTAAAATTTGAACATATTAAAAGTAAAGATAACAATCTTGCTGATTGGCTAAGCAGATATATTCATTCTTCTCTTGTGCAGGATTGAAATGAGATGCTCAACTTCAAGCAAAACCAACAATAGAGGCGAAACCTCTAGAGTTAGGTTTTGTACAGAAGGGCTCAATTTAGATCCAGTTGTTGATCAACTTCTGAACAACATTCAGGAGAGCTTTGGCAATTTGAACCTTTTTGAGAACAATTTAAGAACCTTAGCCCAATATTTGAGAAAATATAATAAATTAATTATTATATTCTAATCAAAGGAAAAAACCTTGGACTTTATAAGAAGTGGGATGAAATCTTATTCGAAATACAAGATTTTAGAAGACCACTCTATAAAGGGTTTTATCTAATTGAGGAAGCTATCCCATTTTCTCAACAGTATCTTGGAGATAGCCTTTTCATTAGCCTTTATCTTTCTCCAGATTTGCAAGAACCTTTAAGAGAAATAGTGAAGACCACCTTAACCTCACTGGCGGGTGGAAGACAATTAGTTCCCCCACTGGGAATTAATCAATATTTAATTGAAGGATCCTCCTTAACTTCTACATCAATTCCATTGGTGGATGACACTCAGAGGCAACTTAGGATGTATTTCAATCCACATATTCTCTTACCCGAGCTGCTAGATGATTCAAGACAGTTAATTTTTCAAAAAGTAGAAGCTTTAGGCCATGCTAAATTGAAGGCAATTCAACAATTCCTTCAACAGATAGTTGAAGATGGTATCGACCGACCTGGTATAGGCTTCACATGGGACACCTATTATTCTACTACAAAAGGAAGACTTAAAAGGTGTAATAGGTGCTAAGGAGAAACTGCAGATGGAATTCCACTTGAACGATATGACTGTCAGTGTCAACTCGTCTATAGTATTTGTAAGGTTTCTCTAGATCTATCCTCATATGAACCAATTCAATTTTATATGAAGGGGAAATCATTGAGTTAACTCCACAGTTATTCCTTGGTTATGGTTTTCTCTATCAATTAATTTTTACAAAGATTGAGGATACTGATATTGTGGGAAGAAAATTTGCCCTGGATGTCTTAGAAAGCATGCCTCCCAACTACATTGAGGCATTGATTCAAAGCAAGGCTCTTGAATGGAAGGGTAAACGTTTGCTTCTAGCACAACACAAGATTATTTTAAGGAGAAGAAGCAGTTTACCGCCTCTCTACAAAGACGTTCAAGCCTGGCCATCCACCACTCAGTCCCTCACAAAACAAATCAGACACTAGAGAGCTAGAACAATGGCATACATGCAGGTCATGAGAGATGATTTTACAGCTGGATACACCCTTTTTACTGAGGATAATATTTAGAAATTTTATCTTGATCCTGATGTGTTTATTCATAGTTGGAGTCAAAAGGAGATTCCCTTCTTGCCTTAGACATGCTACACTCAGCTACTATATATTTACTCTGAGGAGTATAAAAATGGTGAAGATCAATTTGAATATCGAGGCGCTAGAATTGATTTAGGTGGCGACCTTCCCAATGACGACCCAGATGACCCAAATATTGGAACAAGCTTTTATGATGATCTTGACTCAATTGGATGGGAAAATCTCAAAAATCAAACGGAGGGATAATAAATGAATCAGACAAAGGAACAGTTGTGCCTCACTCCAAAGTGACTGTCATGAGACATGTTCCTCCAAATTGGTCACTTTTTATCTTTCCAAAAAGATAAAAACGACTGACCATGGTTATCTCTGTAAGGAGTTGAGATGAGTACAACTTTCAAACTTCCTCTAAACTCTTTTCCTCTATCTTCACCTACTTTCTCTATTTGCTATTACTTTTTATTCCTAATTCCTTCTCTTCTATCTATGACTTCTACTTCTCCAAGTTTCTATTTATAGAAGAAAAACTAATCTGGGTTACAAGTATGTATAAAATATATTCCTAGTTATTTTCTTTAATGTGTCATTTAGCTTAAACCAAATCTTTGGCAAAGAGAATAGCTTGTAACTTTTATTTGTCTCATTATTCTATATTCATATACTTATATATAGATGAAGAGATTCTTATTCAGGCTATTTTCAACTTCTTTCTCAAAGATCTTTAAAAAAGAAAAATAATTGTTTTTCATGACCTACACCACTGTGGAAAGTAAGAAAGTTAAATCTGAATAGCTTGGTAAAAAAGAAAATTCTTTACTACCTAGCCCTATTGGAGAGTATCCATTTGAAGCCAAGAATGGCGTTTTAGGAGAAATTACCAAAGATTTGGAAATCAAGTTTTCTTGATTGGGTTGGTCACTAGCTTTCTTGGGAAAGAGGGGGGTCATTGGTTTTTGAGCAACTTGGAAAGATAATGAATAATGGGTAATTGAAAGAGGTTTGAAAATAAAATGGTATTAGAGCTATTTCATTTATATATTTCTATGTGGTATAAAAAGTGAACAAATTCTAGTATACAGACGAAAATCTTTGTCAAAGAATTTAATTTGTCCCATATTTGTCTAACATTATCAACTCTCTACCTATAGCTTTTAGTATGGTTATGAAAAAATTTATTTGCTTTATGTTAAAAATCAACTTTTCATTAATCCGTGTTAAGTTGTATAGTTTTCTTTCATATCTACTGTTGTTAAGATTGTAGTATAAATTTTATTATCTTGCTTGTTTTTTATCTAGTGTCAGACGACATTTACTTATTAGTATTAATGGTCAAGACTCTCTAAATTGCCATCTGTTCCCATTTACGTAGTTGGTCTTTGAAAGAAATTATTGACTAATTTGGTCAAAATTAGCTACTATTTGGTCAACATTTGCTAACTATTTTGTCCTTCGTTAATATTTGGCTTTCTTTTGTTATCTGTTTCTATTTACTCGTCAGTATTAATATCTGGTTGCCTTTGTCAATGCTTATTTATATCTGTTTTTATAACTCTGTCCAGTACTGTTTAATATCCGATATTATTTATCTGCTACTAATTTTACTGTTGATATCATTATCCCTTATTGCATTTAACTTCGTAAAAATATAAGTTTAAATTATTTAGATTTAGTTATTTCACATTTTTATAAAAAAAATTAAAAGTAATTTTAGATAATCATAATATAATTTATAGTTTTTCAAGTTTTACTCATAATTTATATTCAAATAATAGTCAGTTAAATAGTATTATAGATTTAATTATAAATTTTTCAAAAAATTATAAAAAAAAAGAAAAAAAAAGTAGTGTTAAAAAGGTTCCAAAACTTTGAAAAGCATTACAACAAAAATATTGTAAAATTAATTGAAAATTAAAACTATCTACAACAACAAATTGACTTTGTTTTTATATAGTTTAAATTTCTATTTTGATCTCTCTATTTTGATAAAAACTCTTTTTTAGTCTTTATACTTATAAAAAAAATTCTTTTTTGTTTCATAAAATTTGAAATCTAACGTCTTTATATTTCTTTTATTAAATTTTACACACATGAGATGTTAAATGATAAAAATTTTAAAATAAAAGGACTAAATTAAAAAAAAATTAGTTCTAATTTGATCCTTTTACTTAAAAAAAAAATCCTTTTTTGATTTTTTTACTTTAAAATTTTCGTCATTTAATATTAAAACTTCATAAAAAAAATTAAAAAGTATTGAATTTTAAATTTTAAAGATCAAAAAACACTTAAAAAAAAAAATTTTACAAAAGTAGAAGGATAAAATTAGAATTTTAACCGCAATTTTAACCTATATACATACACAAAACAAGGAACCGAAGGCGACTGGCTTTTGAGTGAAACCATTTGGGGAAATGGCGGCTTGTACTAGCTGCAATAATAAAGTTGTAGACAATAGTGCATTGCAGCAGAGATGGCGTATTGAGGCAGTAGACAATTGGGTGAAGGCCTTGTTCTTGCAGGGAATTGCAGTATGCATTTTTCTAGTACATTTATTACCATGCCTGCATATATCAACATCATAACACTGCCATTATAATATTTAAACATCACCCCTTTGGAATTATTCTGACTCAAAATGGTTGTAGGAGATCATCCAAGAGGTTTAAACTATAATATCTACTGATCCTACCATGTCTTATATTTTGCCTGCCACCAAACATTTATATAAAGTTTCCTGCCCGTTGTTTTCTAGTGATAATATGCCCATATATCATATATTGCATTTCATGGTGGCATCTGAACTCCTCTTTACCATTAATAATTGTCATCTCTCCGCTCTCCTCCACCATGAAAAAGCCAATCAAAATAGCGTCTCATCCGCCATGCACCCTCTTCCTGCTCTTCGCCTCCGTCTCACTCTTCTGCACGTCTACACGAGCTGCCCAAGAGCTTCTCATAGGTTTCAAAGCAACGCTGAATCCTTCAGTTTCATCATTCCAATCTCTCCTCGACGATTCCACGGGCAACTTCTCTTTTGGTTTCCTCCGAGTCAACTCCACCCACCTCGCTCTCGCCGTCCTTCATGTCCCTTCAAACGAACCACTCTGGCTCGCCAGTCCTACCCAATTGGCTCCATGGTCAGACCACACCCAACTCGTCTTCAATGGCAGTCTCGTAATTTTTGACTCAACCGGGAGGGTGTTTTGGTCAACCGGCACAGAAGGTGACCGAGTTGTGCTTCTCAACACCTCCAATCTTCAAGTACAGAACTTCGACAATTCCCAAACTGTCCTTTGGCAGAGTTTTGATTTTCCCACAAACACCCTCGTTGAGAATCAGAATTTCACTTCTACCATGGCTCTAGTTTCTTCCAATGGGTTATAATACTCAATGCGGCTTGGGAACGATTTCATCGGTTTATACGCAAATTTCAAACCAAACACTGAACTATTTTACTGGAGACACAAAGCGCTAGAGGCCAAGGCAAGTATTGTTGAAGGCGGCGGACCCGTTTACATCCGGGTCAACCCGGATGGGTACCTGGGCATGTACCAAAACGGAAGCAAGCCGGTGGATGTTGAAGCCTTTAGCAGCTTTCAACGGAACAACAACGGATTCCTTATTTTCCGATTGGAACAGGACGGAAATCTCAAAGGGTACTACTGGGATGGGTCCAACTGGGTCTTGGATTACCAGGCGATTTCCGACACGTGTGAGTTGCCCAGCCCTTGCGGTTCGTACGGTTTGTGCACACCCGGATCAGGGTGTTCCTGTTTGGATAACCGGACCGAGATTTCCTCCGGCAAGTGCGTGGCTTCGTATCCCGATAACTTGTGCAGCGGCGGCGGCGGCGGCGGCGGAGGAGGAGGAGAAACGAGAAATGACTTCACGGTTTTGAGGAGGAACGGCGTCGAGTTACCGTTTAAAGAGTTAATGACGCACCAAACGACGTCGTCTCAACCCCAATGTGAGGGATTATGCGAACGGAACTGTAGCTGTTACGGTGCGGTGTACAATAACGGATCCGGGTTCTGTTACCTCGTGGACTACCCGATCCAATCTTTGTTGGTTGTGGGCGACGAGAGTTAGATGGGATATTTTAAAATACGTGAGGAGGCGGGGAGGAAAAAAATCACGGCAGGTCTCGGCGTCGGGATTGGGCTATTAGGTGGGGCCATAGTGTGCATGGTTGCGGCGGTCGGGGTGGGGAGTTATAGGAAATGGAGGAGAAAGCGACGGGTTAAACGGATGTTGGAGGAGGATGAAGAGAGTGGGGCTATACCCGGGCCGTATAAGAGTCTCGGGTCGGCTAGTTTTAGGTCCATTGAGATGACGTAAGGAATGACATTTTTTGGCCTTTTTGGTGGGGTTTCACTCACTTTGTGTTGTTGCCTCAGTCTTAGTGCTTGTGGGGTCAACTAACATTTTTACTATACTAATAACTTTTTTTTTTTTTTTTGGTAATTAGATTGTGATAAACCAAGTTAGGTTGTTTCATTCATTAATATTGAAATGAAAGGTGATTCTCTTTCTTTCCGTCCCTTTATCAAACAAATTAACTTATTTTTCAACATATCTAACAATTAAGAGTTTGTGATGATTTTGGTGCAGTGTTAAGAAATAATTGATGACTATGTTTGTTAATTGAACAAAATAAGAGTGTTTATCAAATGTTCCCTAACACTCAAACCAAGAAGCTAAGTTTGTATGTTAAAGGTCTTATTTGAATATTCGAATAAGCAATGAGAGGGATGGCTTTGAAAGAAAGAAGTTATCCCTATGTTCCTTCTTATTATTATAAAAGAAATTTTGTAATAGTAAAAATTAAGGTTTTCTTTCATTAAAAATGTTATATCTTTCATACTTGACTTTCTCAACTTAATAATTTTGTCACCCTTGATAAGTACATTCCCCAATCCCTTCAGTTGGATTCGATTCCCTTACTCCTTTGGCTGAGTTTGATTCCCTTCACCCCCAATTTGTATTCTGTTTAAAAAAAAAATTATATTTTTCAATTAAAGTTATTAAATATATGTGAAGCATTCCAATCATTAATTATGCAAAGCATAATTTAGGTCTCAACCGATTTCATTCCATCATGGGGTTATAACTGTAAGGTTAAAATATCTTAGTTTTTCATTTCTCAAGAAATATAATGGGAGTAGAATGATACTACAGTCCATCATATTAAATTTTAGTACTATAACATTCCTCTCCCACTAAATATGCTCTCTCTTACATTAATCTCAAAATTAGAATTTTAGTTTTTAATGACGACAAGTAAGCTAAGATGTTATTAATTGTAACAAATTTACGTTTGAGTTATGACAACCTTTGTTAACATGATGATACCAATATATATGTTTTAAAATTTTGAAACATTTGAGAATTTCTGTAGGATGATGCTGAACCTTTTGTGATTGATCACTTCCCCGACTCAAATATGATTTGGGACGGTCCGACATAATCCGTCCAGTGGGCCTTAAATGGCCTAGCTCCTTGACTAGGCCTATAAAATATACCCTGCCCTCTCCAGCTCTAGAAGCTGGAAAATTACAAAGGTATTGAACTTTTAATGGGCTCAATTGGGCTGCCAATTCGGATTCCTGATACGGGTTTCCATGAGATCACACTCATCATTTAAACATCCATTTCTAAACCTTTATGCATGTGAGGAGGAAACATGTCCTTGTTCACCTTTGTACTCCACATCTATTCTTCATCACCCTCTTTTTCCTTGTTGCTTTTCCCTAAATCGACCTTAAAAATATAAAACCTTTTGTCACTCTGGATCCATGGCTTTTTAATTTTTATTGTAAAAATTGTCCCCAACACCAAATTTATTATCAAGTCAAGAACTGTTGTACTTAAATGATTAAATTGATAGGTGAAGACCTAAGGTATGTTTTCCATATTTTAATCAAAAGTGAGGCAGATATTTAATTTTAATGCAAAATTATAAGTAAGATTAAGCATGAATTATTATCCATAAAAATGTTTGTAATTGGCACATCTATTTCAATCCCATCTAGCAGCTTTACAATAGAAATCATCATCATTCTGTGCCCCAGCACTCTGCTTCCAAGAGCAGCAACATATTTTTCATGCTGGTAAAATTATGGTAGAATGGACCATAATATTCCTTGGATGCATGGAAGAAATGAATCACTACAATCTACATCTTTATAAAAGTTGAGCATCAAATTGTGTTTGCTTTTGACTGAAGTAAGAGGATCCAATCCTTTTCTGCAGGCTAGCTTCTTCCAGAAATGGTAACCGTTTTCTATAATGATCCTCATTCTTGTCCTACTGTCTGCCCCCTCTACCAGTTTCATCAGCTGTCTGTAAATACCATTATACTGTCAGCTAGGCTCCTAGGGTGACATTTTGATCATTTTTAGACTGAACTGCACTTTTTTTTTTAGTGAATCTGAACTTTGCCCATGTTGATTCAGACTATTGGTTGGTGGAAGTTTTGGCGGGTTAGTTAAGAACGCTAGTGCATATAGCGTCTGGTGGTAACTTTAGCAACTACTGCACTAAAATTTTCACAACTGAGTTGACTTTGCTCCTAAAGTCATTCTGCTGTTGCAATGTTAGAGATCAGATACCTCACTTTTCTTATTAGTTTGTTAAGATTTCAACTGAAGTTTTTTAAGAAAAATGGTATCTGGTAGTAGTAGTAGTTGAGATTGAGATATATTATGTTTAGATTAGTTAGTTCAGTAATAGACTAATTAACAGACCTAAAAGAGGTTTGGAGTTAATCTCTGGCTGTCTTTCTTGTTAATTTCCTAGGAAATATTGGATTTATAGAAAGAATTGTCATCAGTAGGCCTACTCTGTTGAATGAAATTGGAAAGGAGACCCAAACTCTGAACATTTGATGCTCCTTTTTTAGGAAAAAAAATAAGCAATAGAGAGAGCTAATCATCGATATAAACTAATCATCAACATCAAGGGAACATAAGTACTACATGAATATCTAATCTAAAATCAATTGAAATGAATTTTCATTTTAACTACTTGATGTAAAATACATGTGGGTTAATTTGCAAATTATAAACCAGTGTTCCAAATTAATTAACCACCAAATATGTGCCTAACTGATCAGTGGACCACGGTTGAAGGCGAGGATCCAATGTCTGCCACTATCCAGACTAAGAAGCATGTTCAAACATTTATAGATTTCTTGTGTTTGAAGCTAGTAAAAGATCACAAACTTTCACTACAAGATAAAGTGGTTTTAGTGACAAAAATTTATGATGAATTTTAAAATTGTCATTATAATTTATTATAATTATAACAAATTTTAAAAATTAATCACAAATACATATATATTTAATGATAAAAAAAAAATTCATCATTAAAAAAATATTTTATCACAGCTATACGATCACAAAGAAAATATAGGTTTGTGGTGAAAAAATTCGTCACTATAATTTAGTGAACTAGCAAATAGAACCAATTATCTTTTCAGAAAAGATTCAATATAGAAGGCAAATTATTACTTACTGTTTTCCTCTCAGATTATGATTATGTTCTTAATTACTACGAAGTTTTCTTCCATAATAAAGCTGCATTATTACCCCTCATATTCATTGCTCAACTTCTGAGCGTGACAGTTTCCCGAAGTTGTCTTCTCAAAGATAGTGGATCATTATGCCTGCTGAGGAGATGAAGTAGAAGGTTGTGCTTCAACTTTCTACTCCAAAGTATTGTAATCATGCTATGCATTATGAATTCATATTTCACATTCAAAACATCAATGACCTTTTTAAGACTAAATGACCCAGATCCAATCCATGGTGGCAGGAAATCTAACATAATGACAGCAGTAAGTTTCTGAAGTTCCCTCATCTTTGGTTTGTGATTACTGTTTTACTAGGTTGTGTCTAATCATTCCTCCTTGTTTTCCCATAGATCTCTCAAGTCTTCGTCCACTCCCTAATTGGTCGCTTTCCCTTTTAAGTCTGTAAAGCTACCTTCTCTGGTAGTTGTGGTCAGGTGGTTCCCTCCACGCCACATGAATCAAATTAATTACTCCCAAAAATGATGCAGACAAAATCAAAGTTGATTTTGTCACAATCTTATTTCACAATAGTTACTTGACAAATAAGTAACTACATATTGATTCAATTAACGTCACTCACCAAGTAAAATAAGTCCACAACAAGTACCACATAGATTTTGAGACTTTATGAGATAGGTTTGTAATAAATCATTTTCCATCCAAATTCTTAAAGAAACCTATTCATTTAATCATTCCCCCCCCCCCCCCCACCGAAAAAAATTAATTAATTTACTCCCAACCATACGTATGTAACTCCAGCATTTCAATTTCATGGGTAACGAATAGTTCTGTTCCGTTTTCAGACTCAGTATTTATTCTGCTAACTGAAACTGCATGTGGAGTAATAGGCCATTAATGTACTTATCAGGGGAGATGTAGAGTTATGGGGGAAAGAGGATACCTCAATCTGAGTTGTCTTTAGCTGTAGGATGCGAATCTGAACGCTGTTTTAAATTCGTAGGGTCCAAAAATCACTATCATCAACACCCCAAAAGGGCCAGAACTCCCTTCTTATCTAATGCCACTTACAGCATCAAACTTATTGTTGGCTCATCATATTACATCCCCAATAATCTTAAAGTTAGTCTAATGTATTTTCAAATATAAGTATTAATTTTGATGTTGCTAACGTCGACCGACAATGAAAAGTCAGCTTCTAATTGATGGTAAATTTCTTAATCTTTTGTTAAGTAATAAGACAGACTGACTAATGAACAAACTATAAAAAAAGAAAGACTTAATTTTGGTCTTGGTTGAACTTTAATTTTCATACAGGAAAATTCAAGGTTAAAAAATGGTTCTGAATTTTTCCCTCTGGGTTTTATGAGATAAAAAAGAGGGCAGCCCACATGGGGTACGCAGAGAAGAGTACTTCTCTTTTGTCACCTTCAATCTTCCAAAGTTTCTTCTATAATTTAGACAAGGAAGGGCAATCCCATTAATTTTTCCATTTTCTTTTACTCTAGGCAAGGAGAGAGTTTTTCTCTCCCTCCCCCTTCCTTCTCTTCCTCCTCCTGTTTCTTTCCTCCTCGATTCTTTGTTTGGATAGAAGGAAAGGAAAACCGAAAACCCTGTTCAATTTCGGATTTTTTTCTGAGATTTTCTCCGTGATGAGGAGCTTAGCAAGGTGTTACAATGAACATGCTATTAAAGTATCGGATTCGTACTGTTCTGGTCCTTCAAACAGAGCCTATCTGTCTCCCAACATGACCTCTGCAATCCCAAACACTATTACATGCATATACAGAGCCAGACTTTCCTCCGGATGTAACCTCCTGATTACCCTCACCTGGTGCAACAGAGCAACCGGGAACGGTCTAACGATCCAGTTCAGCAAAAACCCGTTTTCTTCTCCTTCCATATCAGACTCTGATTCTTACCGGTTGAAAAAAAACAGAGGGTCTGAATTGTTTCAGTTTTGCAATTCAATAATCAGTGTGTCTTGGGATCTCTCCGATGCTCAGTATAGCAATGGACCTGAACCGGAAAACGGATTTTACATCCTGGTTCTCGTTGATTCGGAAATCTGTCTTCTCCTTGGAGACATGGAAGAGGAAGCGAAGGAAAATCAAACAATACATGGAATTGGAAACTTCTCATTGGTTTCACGAAGGGAGAATTTTTCAGGGTGTTCTGTTTATTCAACCAAGGCCCGGTTCTGTGACACCGGAGAGGTGCATGAGATTCTGATAAAGTGCGGCGGAGAAGGTGGCGAGGGGCTGAAGAATCAGCAACTGTCCGTTAGCATTGACAAGAAGATGATTTTTCAGGTGAAGAGGCTGGCGTGGAATTTCAGGGGAAACCAGGCCATTTACCTCGACAATGGATTGCTGGTGGATATGATGTGGGATTTGCATGACTGGCTGTTCAACCCGGCGGCTGCGGCGGCAGGCGGACATGCTGTGTTCATGTTCAGGACAAGGAGTGGGTTGGACAGCCGGCTGTGGTTGGAGGAGAAGAGTTCGGACAGCAAGGATAAAGACAAGGCTGAATTCTCCCTGTTGATCTGTGCCTGTAAGAATCCTGACTAGTTTACTTCTCTATTACCTGTTTGGTTTCTTGTAATGCAGTTTTAAAAGACGAAAGAAAAATGAATGTAGAGTTGGTTTTCTAATTATACCAAACGATGTGCTTAACTTGGCATGGGAGGGAATGCATTTAGAGATTGAATTGTAAATGGAACTTCTTGAATGGATTAATTGGTTAATTACGTTTCTTTTCTCTCCCATTTTTCCAGTTTCTTCTTCCTTCGTTTTCTACCTATGTGTATATTAACCTTTGTACAATTTTGGCAATGTTTAAACTTCAAAGTCAATGGAGAGTTGGTCTACAATGGTGATGCCGCCTAATAGAACCAACTTTGGTTTTTTAATCACCAAATATCAATAGAAATATTTTTCTTGCAAACTGCTTTGGGATGAATAAAGATGGTTTACTTAAAATACTGGTGCAAAATATATCTAGGAAAATCTTATCTGCTCGAGTATGCTTGATACTTCAAAATTGAAGACATCAAGTTTAAATCATAATATATTCAATATTCTGAGATGAAAATATAAGAGATAGGAGGACTATACCTATGAAAAATTGCCTTTTGCATTTGCACAAATTATATATTTTATTTATGTATTTCAAAATTATAGTTGCTTTTTTGACTTTTTTTATATATTACACTTAAACCTGACAAAAATCCATCCAATTCGTCAACTCAACTCTAACCTAACATGTAAAAACGGGTTAGGGTCTATATATGTCAACCTGCAAGTCATAAATAACTCATATTATCAACTCGTACAGGTCACGGGTTGGATTAGGGTCAATCTGTGGGTTAACGGGTTGACCCGTTTGTTTTATTTTTTATTATTATTTTTAAATATTGTACTTATTATTCCTAATTAATTTTTTTAATGGTAACTCCTTCCATTAATTCATACTGCCGAATTTCTAGAGAAAGACGAAGACGAAGAAATTATAATGAGTTTGATCTAATTATCCAAGTATTATTTTTTTTATATTAACAATTACCCAAGTATCATGAATGAAATGATAATGTAACTAAAAATATTAAAAGATGTGATGTTAGAACATAAATATAATAACTTAGTGAAAGATGTTCTTGAAAGAGCAATTTCATCATTAAAAAAATAGCTTAAATTACTTAATAATGTTTTAAGTTGATTATAAAATTAAAATTTTATTTTCCAAGAAATTTAAATACTTTACGTTTAATATTGTTATTGTTAATCAACTTATTATTATTTATAATTTTATGATTTTTTTTCTTAATTTAAGTGTTTGTGGTTGAGACTATAAAGTACTTAGTTTTAATGAATCACAATACTTTAATTAGATTTAGATATATATAATTTTATTTGCATATAATAAAATTAATAAAAAATAATTATAAATAATAAAAATAAAGTCAACTTGTGACTTAATCCGTAATTTATTAGGATCGGGTTAGAATTGGACTTTTTTAACCTATACCTCGCAATCTGTTTATAACCCAACCCGTACAACCCATCACCTGAGTTAACCCATCACCTGAGTTAACCCATCCTGAACCCGACCCAACACACCTGTTTGTCAGGTTTAATTACACTTAAAAAATAAAAGATAAAAAAATTCAATAAATTAAAATAAATGAATAATAATTGCGTTCAATAAAAAGAAATATTTGTTTTTTTTAAATAGAAAATAAAAATTAATTTAAAAATAAATTCAAAGTAAAAAATAACCGTAATTTTGGAATTGAGGGAATAGATTGTTATCAAAATTCAAACAGTATAAGCAAGTATGAAGGTGGTAAAAATGTAATAGAAATGTTACACTACCGGACAAGGGAATAGTAATTTGAACCACCACATGAAATAGGGAGGACATAAATGAATGGCATTTAATGGGAGCAATGTTGCAGGAGGCACTTTCAACTTTTTATTTATTTATTATTATTATTTTTTACAATGGTAATAGTTGGGAAGTTAGTGAGTTAATAGTTAGCAACTGGTTCTCAAATCGGGTGAACATTCTACTCTCTTAAATGAGGTGCGTAACCATCAAGTCACATTTTGATGGATTTCACGACAGTGATGAAACTCGAACTCCAACCACCATCTCACCCAATCCTTAAGGTTTGGGGGCGAACTATTGACGCAAGTCCGGTTCTTTCAGCTTTCAATTTAAGGGGTCCATAACTAAGCGCTGCCACCATTCTCCATTACTTTGAAAATATTGTAGATTCGTGTGTGATGGTGAACTTGGAAATGACAGTCTCTGCATTCTGGTTCTGGCCCATCTGGCTCTCTGCCGAAGATTTGTCGTTCTCTGCCGAAGATTTGTCGAAGGTTACTCTTTCCATTTTGAGGTGTTCGATAATTTTGGTCTGACCAGATCCCAATTAATCCAAACTCATTTTGTTGGTAGAATCATGGAATTTGATGCAACCACTGATTTCATCATAGAGTTATTAATTTTTTTTTTTTTTTACATTAAAAAGTTAAGTGCTTCAACATTGTGGATGTTTTAAACTCATAATCTTAACTTAAAATCATTATTTTTTTAGTTAGTGATTATTAACTCAAATTTGATTAGAATTAACTTTTTGCATCAATAACAATAATTGTATTTGGTGTTTTTATTATAAATTCTATAATAAAAAATTACTTTTTCCTTTCATTAATTCTTCTTTAACTGTTTTCAAATTTTAACTCAAAATCTTTAATTTAAAATTTAAAATTCTTAATTATTTTTGAATCAATACTACTATCCAAAGGAAAACATTGGGACTTTGCCCGTTCCCTCTGCTACCCGACAAAGTTTTGGTTTAGTAACTAGTAAAACAAGGTCTTAAATTGGAAAAAAAAATGATATGCAGCTCGAATTATGTTGAATTATACGAGTTAAATTATTGAACGAGATGTGTTTTTGATATTAGACATTATCTACCAATTAAATTGCAAAATGGGAAACTTGAAATCGAAACATTGAAAGCATAATTGCATGGTGTGAGTTGGGCTGATTGTTGGGCTATGGTTGTTCTTTCAGGCCGCTTCTCTTGATTCACATTTTCAGTTGGGCTTTACTAATTTACTACAACGATCGACTTCAGCCCAACATAAAAAAGTTTGTTCCAAGGGACATTACCTTTTTTTTTTTTTCCTTCCTTTCCCAGGATACAAGGAACATGTTTGTTTTGGCCATTTTCAAAGAACATGTTGGAGCATGAAAACATTTTAATTACAAAAAAAGGTGAAATTCAGGCCCCCAAGTCAAAGATATAGGATCATTACTTCAGCTATTTGTGCTTGTGCAACTGCAGAAACAAAACCATTGCCTATTTTCGAAAAAAAAAAAAAAAACTGCAGCAACAAGACGAGCCCATCATGTCAATGACTTTAGTCTAGAGGAACTATAGAGAGGAAATGAGGAATGAGGAAAGAGGAAAAACACCCACCGGAACCCTCTCCAATCAAGGCTCTCTTAAGAGGTCAGAGAACTGCTTAATCAATTTAATTTATTAAAGTTTATAATTAAATAAATTTTAATTATTTTTTAATATATTATCTTTTCTCTTTCTAATATATTTAGATTGAGAGAAATAAAAAAGGAAAAAAAAAAATCTTTACTTAGTTATTTGGTTGGCAAGAAGACTATTGTTGCCATACTTTTCAAAGTTGATAAATTTTTATAATTGTTTAAGAGGTTAAGGGATAATAACGAACCTTTTGTCACAAGTTCAAGAATTTTCTGCTGCTTATCATATCATCATATGTCATGCTTCAGGCTATAACCTGTCAGTTACCAAGACATTGGAGATGTTTGGTTTTGAAATTTTGTTAATAGATGTCGATTTTAATTGAATAAATTAATTTTTTTTAATTTTAAATAAAAATATTTATTAAATTTAATTATGAATCTAAATATCTACATAACAATTATCATTTCTTGAAATATAAAGCGGATAACACTCTCTTAGATGAAGTAACTAAAAAAGTCATTTACATTATGTTAGAAATATAAATTTAAAATTTTTTAATATTAAGTGGAAATAATTTTAATAAATTATACTTATTATTTTTAAAAATAAAATTTTGTTAAATATATGTAAATAAAAAAATTTACAAGTATTTATAAAAATAATAAGAATAAAAACTCAGGTACTTACATTATCTGAAAAGATCTATAAAGCAGATGGTCTACTATCTATAAGAGATAAAAAATTATATAATTTAATGTTATAAATATTTTAAATTTATAATAATAATATATTATTAAATAATTAATCATTTTTATTCTAAAAATTACATTAACCTTTTATCTTATTAAACATGGGGAATTAGGGGGAATTGAAATTTTTTTTTAAATAATTGGTAGTAATAAAATTTTTAATCAATTAAATTTAAATATTAAAATTTAAGGATAGATCATTAAACTCAAAAATCTAATTTTAGATTATCCAATTGTTTTAAATAAATTTATAATTTTAGAATATAAAGATTTAAACCCTAATATATCGATTGATAATCTATGAATAGTAAAGTATAGGTGTTTTATATCGACTTATTTGATTTAATAATATACTATTATTGAATTTCACCATGCAGCTTGATGGATTGTGCGCCTCAATAAGGGGGTGGGAGATCACTTATTTTGAGAATTAAATTCTCAATTGTTAATAATTCCTAACCTAACCATTCATCATTATCTTTTATCCTTGTATAAAAAAATAATAATATACTATTATCGTAAATATACGTACAATTATATATATAATTATAGCTATATCATCCTTCAATGTACGAAAAAGTACCATTGCCCATTTCATTTGGTGCTGATTTTAGCTGATTTTCTTACGAATTTGAGCTGCGTCGGATTCACGCTTCCTGACTTTGAAAGGGCGATGAAGTACTCTTTTCACTTTTTTGATGCCAAGTGAAATAAGTATATTCTCTAGTCAAGATGCCATCGGGCATATATCAACTCAACATTATGTTTGACATAAATGTACAATTATTTATTCCGGGATCGCATCAGATGGAAAAAATCAAGATGATCTCTAGGAATGTGTATTTACAGAGTCTTTAAATTAATTTTTATATATTTTAAAATTAATATTTTTAAAATAATTTTATGTATTAAAATTTTAATTTTTTTAATATTAACTTCAAAAAAAAATTTTAAGTTAATTTACAAAACCATACTTGTTAAATTCAATCTTAAAATTTTTCTTATAAAATTTTTGAAAACTTTCCTTTTTGTAAGATTATTTATATATTAATATTATAATAAAAAAATAAAGATAATATTTTTAATTTTTTTTGTTAGACATAATTCTTAATATGTAAAGTTTTCTCTTTATCTATTTTAATTATCAATTTAGGCTAGGTCAAAATTAAATTCAAACTTAAATTGAGCTTATCCCGAGTATCTTGACTTGCTGACAACTCTAGTTATGCAGCATACATCAATCTGGGCCAATACTCTCTACTCATGCCGATTAAAAAAAAAAAAAAACTCTGTTCATCCTTAAGAAGGTGAAATGTGGGTCATGTGTTAAATTCTTTCATTATTAATGGGGTGTGGTTACGGTCTTTTATCATTTTGTAAAAGGCATATAAATTTATTTAGTTTAATTATTAAAAATAATTGATCATTAATAAAATAATTTATATTTATTATTTAATATATTAAAATTAATTTATAAATGGATTTTTTTAAATGTCATATTTAATTATTTAAAAAAATAACAAACTAATGTAATATTAACAAAATTACATAATTTTTTAATGATAGTATTATAGTTGTAATATTATGTAAAATTGTAAAGACTGTAAGTATTTAATAAAATATGATGTAATATTAAATAAATAGATACATAAAATATCATAGGTAAAATTTTCAATTAAAAAAATTAATTATATAATAAGATATTATATTATATGCTCATTAAATCATATAATATTGTAACTATATAATATATTTCTTTTTTAATAACTTAACAAAATAATACATCACCATAACTAGGCTTTATTAATGGTGCAAACAAAGTTAACAATTCCTTTTAAGACTATCAAATCTATATAATTTTTGCAAGATCAATAGGCTTGGCCTTTGACGTAAGAATAATAAATAATTTAGGAAAAAGTTGTGATCGTGGTAAGTGGTGTCAATTTGTTCATTATTATAATAGATAAATCCTGTGAAAGTTTGGTGTAAATATACCCTTATTGTTGACTCATCAGTAGTCAAAACTAAAAGTAGTTGGTGGCGATTGGCAAACGGAGGGGATGAGCTAGTACGAGCCTTTTCCGGTTGGGACTACGGAGATAGGACCCAACCCATTTCAAATGGAAGAAATGAATAAAGTTTGGGGTTGAATATCATATTTTGTTGGATTTACTTGTTAGGGTATAACATTTATTAGGTTGTAAATGAGAGAAGTGTTTGAATTATAAATAATAATTGTTTATTATTGAACATTAGCTATTATTTCTAATTAATAATATATTTGATTAGGATTTCCTCCGAACGAAGAGTTCAGGAAGTTGGGTTTTTTTTTACTAATATAACTTAGATTATGTTTGGTTTGATAGAAATAAAAAAGACTTAGTAAAAAAAAAAAAGGAAAAAACCACTTCCTCCCCTTCGTTTCCCTCTGTTAATACTAGAAAATGGCAGCCAAGATTTCTAGTAGAAGACTCGGCAAAGATAGTTATCGGACAATTAGAAGATAGGAAGGAGGTCGTCGAAAACTTGTGAAACAAGAAAGCATTAAAGCTTAGCCAAAGAGTGGAATTGGTTTTCAACTTGGCACTTTGATACTCCAACATAAAACATGGGTTCATGGTGGAGAACTCTTTGTATTTGTGTGTGTGTGCATGTGAGTGGAGAGTTAAAGAAGATGAATTTGAGAAAGGAGAGGTGAGTGTAGTGTGTATAAATGATAGAGAATGAGTGAATAGTATATTCAATAACTATTTTTACATGACCTAACACCCATAAATTAAAACATATTCTTAGTTTAGAAAATAAGAATTCAAAATAGAAAGGAAGATTTGTTGATTAGAATGCAATTTGGCATGTTAGATATAACCATGGAAATTGTTTTCTAAAAGGTAGTGTGAAGGAAGACTTCTTTGAAAACATAATTATGTGCAAATATTACCAATTATAACAAAAAATAATTTAACCAATAAGAGTTTAATCGAATTAATACTTAATGATTTAAAATTTTGATTTGGAGTTAATGTAAAAAATTCAAATATCTATATTACAAAGTATTACTTTTTAAGTATACTGTAATCAATATTAATAAAATTTTGAATTGAGTTAATAAAATTTATAAACTTCTCTAAGTTCTTCTTTAGAAAAAATCCAAATCAAACAGACTCTAAATGGCAAAGTCAAGTTTCAAAGTAAAAGCTGGAGAAAAATCAATCTTAGACCAACCTATGAAACAACCAAAATTTTTTTCCATCTACTGTTTTTCTAAGAATGAGAAATTTTCAAGTCATTTATAATTTTGTACAACAATTCTACTTCCCAAACGTTCCAAAGAGAAGTGGGGAAGAAAGTCAGTTGTCACCAAAAGCTGTCACAAAATATGAAAGGAACAAACAAACACACCAACATCGGATAGAGAAATACTGCCAAACCTAATGGTCTCTCTCACGAATACCTCAACCTAACACCCCCCGTTTTCCCATCGCTTTTCATGTTCCAACCAAACACTGCCTCTTGGCTTAGACGCCCTCCGCCTCACGTGATTTCGGTGCTTGCGGTTTACCTTTTTGCCTTTTTCAGCCCTACTTTTTTGATTTTTTTTTTCTCGCCCACTAAACCACGGCCGTTGTTTTTGACGTAATTTTTCACAAACGTCTTTTTATCTTCCAGTTTACTTTTCTGACCTTACGATAATATCTATGCGTACGTACTACGTACAGAGGCGCAATCTTTTTTTTTTTTTTGAAGAACATTCCAATTTATTTTTTTTTTTTTTTGTATTCTTCGGTATTTGTCTAATTAAATATCAATTTATATCAATTTGGATTCTACTTAAAAAATGGATTAAGGATTTAAGCATTAAAATTTCACCACCTCAAGAGTTTCAATTGTGCAATGATCAATTATTTTAAAAGTAACCTTTACTTGCTAAAAAGGAGTTTCAGATTAATTAAATTTTTAAATAAATAATACCAGTAATTTGTTTTTTTGTCCAAGATACTTAAAAATAATTTATTACATATAAATTTAGTAAAAGAAGAAAAATTAAAATGTGCTAATAGTAAAAACTTTAAGACATTTAATCATAATTATGTCATTATTAAAAAATAATTAAGACATATATTATGTCTCATTTATTGATTTAATGTCATTGTTAAAATATTTAAATTTTATTTAACCTCCTAATTTAGGAACAAAATTCGCAGCCTTTACTTTTGTTAAAATTAAATCTACAATATCTTTTTTTAATGTAAACTTTATAATTATAGTAAGTAAATCTAGAAAAATATTGTTTTGTATAATATAATCATCATTATTTAATAGAAAAAATATATATAAATTTCGACTTCTAAAAATATTAAAATCATAATATTTAAAAATTTATTTTATTAAAATATTAATATTTAAATTTAAAAATTGATTAAATTTTTAAATTTTGAATTAAAATTTTGATTTATAAGTTAAGACTTTAATTTTTTTAAATCAAGTTTAATACGCATTAATCTCTTATGTAATATATGGGTGTTTATAATAAAAAAATATAAAGGTGCTTGGTATAAAAATTAAAAACAAGTAATTAATATTTAATAATTTGTATTAATTGAATGAATAATTATATTTAAATTACAAATAGTGATAACTATTAATTATTATAATTTATTCAACAATTAAATATTGATAATTTAGTATACTATAAATTTAAATAATTAATTTAAACACCACACAATAGAAAAAAAAAAATCAATAACCGTAGATATGCTAAAACTATTTTAAAAGAAAAAAAGCCTAAATGCGGGTGCTTTTCTTGCAGGTGGGGATAGTTGGAAGGGCAAAAGAGTAAAACAAGCAGAAACCACCATAAAATAACGTGAAATCCAACGGCAGTCCACCGTTATCGTCCAATGCAGGACAAAACGCGACGCGACAATCCCGATGCGCTTCCTACCCACACCCAGTTACCTTACTTTTACTCCAATCACTCCTACAATATAAACCCTAACCTACTCTCCTCCTCTCCTCCTCTCCGTTCTGCTTTTCTTTTAAATCTACAGCTTTGTCTCTTAGCAGCTCTCTGTCCTCGATCTCTCTACCCAAACCATGTCGTGCTTCAAGAGCAAGTATGCTGGTAATTTCACTCTCGTAATCCTTGTTCTCTCGCCTTTTCGATTTTCGGTTGATGTTGTTTTGATCGATTCTTGATTCGGTATGGTGTTTGTTAGATATATCTTCTTGTTATTGAGCAATATGTTTGAATCCATACCTGTTTTCAAGATCTGTGTTATCTTACTTCAAGAGAACTGCTCAGTTGCTCTGATCTTTTGCTTGTTTGCTTTTTCCTGTAAATCAGTCATATGTGAACAGATCTGTGAGGTTTGTGGCTTGTTTTCTGTTTTCCGATCTGCAAATTCTGTTTTCTAAAATTATTTAGGTCGGAGGTCCTAGTTGATATCTGTGAATCGGATCCTTTGTTCGTCTCGATGTCACTGAGTTTTTGTACTCTCTGATTGAAAGAACCAGATGAATTTGCTAACTCTTAGTTATTGTTCATATTGATTTTGTTTATTCCTTAGTCAATTTAGTTTTTCTTTTATATATTTTTTGTTTCTGTTAATTAGTGAGAATCGGACTACCAGATCTGAACTAACCTGTGATTAGTAGGGGTTTTGGTATATAGGATCTGTCCGATTTGATTGAAAGTTTTTTGTAGTCGTTTATTTCATTTTCTGGCGAATGAGTGCGGTTGGTAAGCCGTTTCTTGTGGTAGTTCATGCAGATCTGCGGATTCATGCCTTTTTTTTTTTTTTTAATTTAAATTTTATTTTTTGGGCTTTTGTTTTGCATGATATACTAGTTTTTCAAGTGGAATTTTGTTCATGTTGCCTAATCTGCTTTTTGTGTATTTATTGAACTTCTAATTTTACAGATGAGCTTGCTGCCAATGCTAAGTACATTGGCACCCCTGGAAAGGGTATCCTTGCTGCTGATGAGTCCACTGGAACAATTGGCAAGCGTCTTGCCAGCATCAACGTTGAGAATGTTGAGTCAAACAGGCGTGCTCTCCGTGAACTCCTCTTCTGCACTCCTGGTGCCTTGAAACACCTCAGTGGTGTTATCCTCTTTGAGGAAACTCTTTACCAAAAGACTGCCGGCGGTAATGTGAAACATGTCCTGTAATTACTGTTTCTGTTTTCTACATATCTGACCTTATTTCCTGTGCTGCAGGCAAGCCTTTTGTTGAGGTCTTGAAGGAAGGTGGAGTCTTGCCTGGTATTAAGGTTGATGCTGGTACTGTTGTTCTTGCTGGCACCAATGGTGAGACCACCACTCAGGGTCTTGATAACCTTGGCCAGCGCTGCGCTAAATACTACCTGGCTGGTGCTCGCTTTGCAAAATGGCGTGCTGTGCTAAAGATTGGCCCAAATGAGCCATCTGAGCTTGCAATCCATGAGAATGCCTATGGCCTGGCCAGATATGCTGCCATCTGCCAGGAGAATGGCCTTGTTCCCATTGTGGAGCCTGAGATCCTTGTTGATGGTCCCCATGACATTAACAAGTGTGCTGACGTTACTGAGCGTGTTCTTGCTGCTTGCTACAAGGCCCTTAATGATCACCATGTCATGCTGGAGGGTACCTTGTTGAAGCCTAACATGGTTACCCCTGGTTCTGATGCCCGCAAGGTTGCTCCAGAGGTGATTGCTGAGTACACTGTCCGTGCATTGCTGCGCACTGTCCCTGCAGCAGTCCCTGCTATTGTCTTCTTGTCTGGAGGACAAAGTGAGGAGGAGGCTACTCTCAACCTGAATGCCATGAACAAACTCTTCAAGAACAAGAAGCCATGGTCACTTTCATTCTCATTTGGACGCGCTCTTCAGCAGAGCACTCTCAAGGCTTGGGCAGGAAAGGAGGGGAATGTTCTGAATGCCCAGGCAGCTTTCCTCACCAGGTGCAAGGCCAACTCTGAGGCCACCCTTGGTACCTACAAGGGTGATGCTACCCTTGGTGAGGGTGCCTCCGAGAGCCTCCATGTCAAGGACTACAAATACTAAGAAGTTCTCTCTTGCTTTCCAGGGTAAATGATGGCATGAATGCTATGGTTGTCTAATAGTTTCAAGTCTTTTTCCTTGTCATTTGCAGTGAGTTTAGGGTGAAAAATAGAGAAATAAGCCTTAGAAGCATTCGGCTTGTGGACAAGGGATGGTTTTTCTTTCTTTTTGTCAGTTTGGTTCAAAACTTTGATTTTTCCTTGTCAACTTAAAATGGTGCCTGTGACTGTTTTGCGCCAAAATCAAATGCTTTTAGTTCAAATCATCTAATATCTGGCTGCAATTACTTTTTATATTTTGTTTCTTGAGTTTTGCTTATGTTATGGCTTAATTTTCTGACCAGCAGTGGAACTGATTATAATGGGTTCGTATGGTAAGCCATTGATGGGACAATGTTGATTATTTGGATTCAGTAGTACTTTCACAATTCATATTTCTTGCACTTATGTAGAGCTTAAGTGTAAAACTTAATTAGTCAGCGTTCTGGTTAGATATTGTTCCCTTAATTTCTTAGGTATTTGTGCATTTTTTTTTTAATTCTTGCAGTCGGCCTCAAAGTCCGTAGCTTAGGTGAATTATACATGAATATGATGTTTGGAGGAACAAATACGTAGCTCAGTTATTGTTCTCATATTTTTTAACATGCGTTTCAATTTATTCTGGAAACAAATTTTGTACAATCTTCGTGTTGTCTGGGCTTGAAGAGCTCGATCAATGGCTTGAAGTTCTTTTTCCTTTTCTTTGCCCAAATTTTGGAAGTCTTAGGTTATGTTTGGATTAAAATTAGTAAAGAAGAGTAAAGAAAGAGGAGAAAGGAAGCGAGGTGAAGGGAAGAAGAGGAAAGGAGTAGTATTAAATTTACTTGAATAGAAAAAGGAGGATGGAGAGTTAAGGGATGATTATATTTTTTTGTATAATTAAATAAATTTTAAAAAATAGTTATAAAATTAATTTAAATTTAATAAATTTATATATTTAAATTAAAGTTAAAATAAAAATTTTAATTATATTTTAAAAAAATGATAAAAAATTAAAATAGAATTAAACTAAATTTTTCTTAATCTCCTTAAATTAGGGATTTAGGAAGAGTTTATTGTCCATTTATCTACCTCTCTCTTCGTCCTCTTTATCTCCTTGAGATCTTTCCTTCAACTTTCTTTCTTTCTCCCTCAACTTTCTCAATATAAACGGAGGCTTAAAGAAGAGAAAGATACAGGAAACAGCAAGGCAAAAGCAGGAAAAAAAATTTTTTTTTTACAAGATAACGAGGACGAGAAAGAAAACTCCAAAAAAAAAAGAAAAAAAGAAAAAGAAAAAAAGGAGAGGCTAGAGAAAATGAAGGGATAGAAGAAAAAACCAAATCTGAAAAGGCAAAGCAAGGACGGTGGAAGCAAATAACCTGACGGAATATAAACTGGATGAAAGCAGGATAGCACAAGGCGAAGAGGCCTACAAAAGCCCAAGAGATATCTCTGACAGCATCTCATAGTCATGTATAGGGGTGTAAGCCTTATGGCGATTTGTGAAGGGCACCTCGTTGGCATTTCTGTTTATGCAGTCATATTCACTGTCAGAGCCAATGTTGCCACATAATTCAAGTGGCCAAGCTATGGTCAAAATGAATAATCAGAATAAAAAGATTGCAACAAAATTACGCCCTATATTTAGAATAAAGATCACTACTAAAATTCCAACCTTTCAGCAACATGGGAGCACATTGCTGAAATTGCTTACAATGTAGGTAAAAGCCTTTTAACAACATTACTTTTGTTGCTGAAAGTTTTGTTGGAAAAGCTTTGGTGACTAATACATTAGCGATAAGGGGTATGTTGCTGATGTATCAGCAATATATCCTTTGTTACTAAAAGAACACTTTCAGCAATGTGATTTATATTGGTAATATTCTTTGCCGATTTCTGGTGACCAATGGTGGAGTTTATTTAACCATTTTCAACAACAAAAATCACGTTGCTGAAACTATATTTTTAGTAATGTGGCTCATATTGCTGAAAGTTTAGGAGAAATAGTGGTTTTTCAAAAAGAAAGTTTAGGGGAAATGGTGGTTTTTCAAAAAATGGTTTACCCTTTTCCATTTTCAGCAACAAAAGCCACATTGCTGAAAGTTCAAGAATAGTACATTCCCTAATTTTTAGCAACGTATGCCTTGTTGCTTATATTTATTTGCATACTTTCACCCATATTTGCTGATATTAATTAACTACATTAATAAATTGTAACTTAATTAATGTAAATTAAATAACATCAATTAATTAATGTCTTATTATGTATTTTACCAAACTTGAATTTTATTTTATTAAGAATTACATACAAAACAAATAAAATAACAAAATTATTAATTATTAAAGATAATTATTTATAAATATATTAACTTTCAAATAAATTAATATCTACTTAACAATGTAATATTTACAAAAATATGATTTAAATATACTTAAAGAGAATTGATGGAATTTTTTCAATTATTAATATATATACATATGGATGACATGTGCTAATAGAGGAAAAAAAAAAAAAAAGAAGCTAAGAGGCACAGCAAAGGATGTTACAGCAGGCCGGAGGAATTGCAGCAAGCCACGCGAGGAGAAGGAAGGCATGCAGGAGGAGAAATACTATAGAATTTATAGAGAAGGGGTTGGGGTATGTAAATAACTTTCAGCAACATAACCTTTGTTGCTGAAAGTTTACCCTCTATTAGCAACCTATACCATATTGCTAAAACTCATTTGAATTTGAATTCCTTTACTTATTACCAAGGTGTATTATGTTGCTAAAATTTAAAATAAAGAAGATCTCGCCACACCATCAAATGATTAAAATTTTTAGCAACATAATTCTTGTTGCTAAAATTCACTTTCAACAACAAGAGACATGTTGTTGAAAATGGAGTCCTTATTTGGGGAGGAAAGTGCAGTGTAGGGCTACCAGATAATATCAGCAACATGGGGTATGTTGTTAATATTTACTTTCAGCAACATATCCCTTGTTGTTGAAAGTGGAGTAGCTTTTGGAGGAGAGAAGTGTACTGCATAGCTTTTAGCAACTAAAACTTTGTCAGTGATACAATTTTTCAGCAAAAGAGGATTCTGTGTTACTGATATTTGTTGCTAAAAGTCAAAATTTTAGTAGTGGATGTGTGAGGGTTGAGATCGACTCACACAAGTTTTATATAAATTGATAAACAATTTTATATAAAATGATAGGAGAAATGTTTATTAACTGCACTTATAAAAATTTAAATAAAAAATTTTTAAATTATATTTTTTTAATAAATTCTCATTGAAAAATACTTAAATCTTTTATTTTTTAATTTAACAATAAAATTATTTTAGTTTTTTTCTCATAATTTATTAAAATGACATAATTTAAAGTGTTTTTTCATCTAATTTTTTTTAGATCCAATAGATAAGTACTTAGAAGTTAATTTTATAATTCAATGATCGAAGTAAAACCATATTTAATCATATTATCTCAACTGTTACATTCTCTACCACTTCCATTAAAATGGTTATGTTACTTACATAAAAAAAAAAATGGTTATGTTACTATCTCCCTTGCCTGTCTTATTCTAGCACCCCCATAGGCCCGACCCAAGCAGTAAGCTTAAATTTTAAGCCAAAGCTTAAATGGGTCCATAACTTCACCTCAATTGGGTTCGGATGATAATTTCCTGTGACATCTTCTTTCTTTCCAAGAAGAATTGCTTCATTTCCCTTAATAAATGAGATGCCTTCTTAAAAAAAAAAAAAAAAAAAATTCAAAGTTGATCCCCATTGAGGCAATCTGATCTGATGGCGAAGTCAAGATAAAAAAACCCAAACCCTTCCCCTATCCTGTCTTAAGATTCGAACTGAAAACTCTTTAACAAAATCTCGAGATTCTAACATGTGGGAACATCTCTCAGGAACATAAGTTGTTGATCTGACGAAATTACCAAATTCAAGCATGGAAATACAAGATTAGTTGCAATTTTAGGAATGACAGGCAGCTTAATTCAATAATTGGTATATTAACTATTAATCTAATTTCATTTTACTTTAGAAAGTTCATTTTATTTTTAAATAGTTTATAAACTTTGTAAAATATTTTAGAATAATTTATTGTACAAAATTTATATTAATTTTAATATAAAAATAATAGAAAAATTAAATTAAAATTAAAACAAGGTAGTCCCAGCTAGCAAAGTAGCCCATGATAAGTTGTGCAAGTTATTAAAATATGTCAATAATTGTGGTTTCTATCATAAATGTTATAGTTTTTCAAATAATGAAAAGAAATTTATCATCCTCATAAAATTAATTTGATTTCAAAATTAATTTTAAAGTGTAAAAATTCACAAAAAAATATAATTGAAGATCAATTTAACTATATGGAGTGAAACTGTTATTAGAAAATTAATAAACTAAATTATATTAAAAAAATAATAAATAAATTTAAAAATATCTAAAAATAATAGATGAAATATAAAAATATAAAAATATAAAAATTACTAAATTATTTATTAAATTAAGCCAATGACAGATTGATGATTTGCATTTCTGGGCAAATGGATATAAAGTGATAGAGAAGGCACACTACCTTCCGAATTCAGTGAGTATGGCAGATTTTCAGTTAAGCCCACCACTAAGTAGTCACATCATAAAAAGCTGGAATTTTGCTTACATAATTTGATTTTGCCATAATTGGCTAATTGTAGTGTGAGAATCATAATATCATTTCCAAGATATTTTATT